TTTTTCTAAGCCAGGTGGAAAACTGAAATCAGGAATGCCTTTGGTTACTGTGCACAGCACTCAAACCTGTCCAGATGCAAATTGTAATTTCTCCGCTCTCTTCTTGTATGCATATTTAACCAGTTGACATCCGCGGCGTTAAACCCCCTTCCCATCCAGGCCATTTTTCAGTATTCAGCGCTGCGGTACTTTGACTGACATTTATTTTAGTTGGGTCTTTTCTGCCCGTGCGTGCCCGCCAGGGGGCGTGCGCGAGCAGAAAAAAAATGCTGTCTGCAGATGGCAACCCGCCAATGCAGCAGTGCCGTCCGTCCGTTTTTTTACAACGGGCGGACGGCAAGTGGTTAACCACACCACTCTACCTACAAAGCCAGGTCTCCAGCATACACATTTGTTTTACCCAGGCTATTGCTAGGATTTCCAGCACTTGCAGAGCATTCCCTAAAGCACATTAATGAAAGATTGTATACAGAAGAACAGGAAATATAGCAAAATTGTGCAGAACGGTTTGGGAAGCTCCTGACAAAAAAAAGGCCATAAAAAAAAAAACAGCCTGAGCTATTTCCTATACAAATTCTTCCTGGGAAATAAAGATGGAGGGGTGGGAAGGCAGAAGCAGATATAAGGCAGAAACAGCCTTTGGTCCCTTTCTCTGAAAAGCATTTTGCTTATCTAAACTGCCAAAAAACACTGAAATTTAGGTTCAGCTCGGGAAACTTGGTTCAATGTTAATGTCATCCAAATTTCAGGATCAACTCTTGGTTAAGTCATGCTAACTCTCTGGCTTCAATACTTTCTAAGTCAGTGACCTTCAACAAGTATGAAGATCAAGAATGTCAGAAAAAAAAAAGGTAAAGTCTTTATCTACCATTTATTAAAGCAAGAGGATTGGAACTTACAGGCAACATGCAATGGCAGCTTCCATATTTTACTCATAACAGGTTTCCTTTAAGGAGGGTAAGGAAATTACGGTAACGATTAAAGGAGATCGCGGTATACTGAGCTTAGGGTGACGGGAGGGCGCTAGTTTGTGCCCTCCCGTTACCCTAAGGAGAACTATGGGGAAAAGCTCTAACCTCATAGTTCTCCTTTATCATACCCCCAGATATTAATGATTCCATGGAGCTTTAACTCCCCCTCATTTGAGATTGTAAGCCCTTACGGACAGGGCCCTCCTTACCATCTTGTCTTGAATTGTATTGTAATGTCTTCCTTATATTGTAAAGCGCTGTGCAAACTGTTGGCGCTATATAAATCCAGTATAATAATAATAATAATAATAATAACAACAACTGAGTATAATGACAGCCTTGCTCACACAAGTCAGAGCATCATGTGAAAAGAGACCGCAGTCCCTCCCCAGAGCACTGTGAAAAACCTGCAAGATGTGGCTGCACTGGATCATACAAAATTCATGTAACCTGAGATGATTTTTTTTTTTGTTGAGCAGTTGCAGTTTTAATTTCTGCAGAATTTCACTAACTGAGTTTTCTGGTTGTGTGAAGTTTCTCATTAAGTATTAGTTGTGAGCATGAATATATTATATGCCTATTTATTTATCATACATATTAATATTATTATACACATTTTACAATTTCTTCAAACACTTATATTGACATACAGAAAATGACAAGGAGGCACAGTTGTCAGTAGTAATAATCAGGTATGTTCTCAAATTGGGGAATTCAAACAGTCCATGAGAAAGTTTCCAGTCTTTTACGTTTTACACAAAGGCCGGAAATGTGTCTCTATCAGTCTATCACATCTTTTCACAAAGCTTTCTTTTATAGTCCTGAGCTCAATGTTTACATTTCATTTTGGGCCATTTGACCTGTAGAGTCTTCAGTTCTTGCTGCTTATGTATACAATACTTACATAAGTCTATTTACATACAGATGAAGAGGAATTGAACTCTGGAAGCTGTGTCCCAAAAAAGGTCAGGCAGAAGGCAAAGTACTTTTATTGATCCACTTTTGTGAGTATGTTTTTACTCTGTATTTGTACTTAGACTCATTAAAAACCCTCTACACTAGGGTGGGCGCCCTTCTCTTTCCTTTTTTTCGCAGTGTTGCAGCTTCCCAAGCTGAAGTGGGGCAGCCTTCCTAGTCAACCTCGTTTTGTACTATTCATCTGTTGGTCGAATTTAGCGCTTTGGACTTGTTTTCACAGAAGGCAAAGTACTAGTCACCAGTATTGCCTGTGGTCTCCGTGCAGCTGATCTTTGCTCATTACTGGCTTACCATGCCTTGTTCTGCACTTTGTCTCTGTCAAGAGGTGGCCTTGCTGGTAGAGGCAAGAGTTTGCTTTCTCAAATCAGACTCTACAGCAAGAACAGCAGCGACATCATCAAATCTCACCCCATGTCTCCTGAGGCTAGAAGTCAGGGGCAGCAGTGCCTTAGGTCTCACACTGCAGATATACATTGCTGAGGCTGGGGGCATGGAGTACCTATGCACGATAATATACCAGGAAGTGCACTACTATTTTTTCAGGAGCATTCAAGGTACATTTTTCAGGGTAATTTTTTGAGTTCAGATCCACTTTAACAAATCAGTTAACCCAAGTACAATTTTTCAGCTGGAAGTTCCTTTTTCTTCGTGTGTGTTTTTCATAATACAAATTTATCAGGGCAACTTGGACCCACTTCTATGGCAGCCATTTTTACCTAGAAACTTAACCAGAAGTCCCTCCAGCAATATGTTTTTAGTGGGCTGACCCATTAAAAGAACATTTTAAAATTGTGAGCTCATGATATCAGTGTATAACATATGTTCAGGGCCGTCTTTAACGCAGGGCAAAAGGGGCAGTAGCCCAGGGTCCAATCATTGTTGTGGGGCCCAAAGCAGCTGCCCCTTCAGCCCACATAAGATAAACACATGCAGGGCTGGCAGCCTCACCTGTGTAGGCAATGGGGCTTGCACCAGCCCTGCCCCCTCTCTGTGTACACAGCATCGGTGCTCTACAGACAGGAGGCTACACACAGCAGCATAGACGTGGCTCTGGGCTCCGCCCACTATTAACTTTGCCCCGCCTCCCGCTCTCCGTTCTCTGCTCTCCTGTGTTGTCTGGGGCCCTGCTGGGAGACCACACCGTGCCCTGAGATGTCACCCTCACTGTGTCCCCTCCTTTAGTCACCACTTGTTAGTGCGCTTCTGTATTTCTTGTCTTCTTAAACTGTGTCCCCTCCTGCCTACCCTCTCTGGACCTTCACACCAAGTAAGTGCCCAAATATGCCACAGTTTATGTATGCAACAGATACATATACTGTGTGCAACACATACATATGCAGAGCAGGTTCCTGACATTGCTTCTCTAGTTCAATCTATGCTGCTGAAGCAGGATTTAGAGTTTTTAAAGAAAATGTAATTATCAAGTTCTATGTATGGCTGCAGCAAAGCTTCCTGTACTCTCAATACTAGGGATGCATCTATAGATAATATTACAAACAGGATCTGTGCTATGGAACAACAAACCCCTAAGCTGCCATGCTAAAAAACGGTATATAACACCTAAAAAACGTGAATTATAAATATGCCCTGTGCAATAGAGATCAACTACATGTGCAATCTAATGATAATCTACATGTGAAGTAAATACAGAAATATATAAATACGCAGAATCACCCTATGGTGAATAAATACATATTAGGTATTTTTTCACTATATATTGTATTAATTCACCATAGGGTGATTCTGCATACTTATATATTTATTTTTAATGGCCTGGATGGGAAGGGGGTTTAACACCGCGGATGTCAACTGGTTAAAAATGCGTTGTTTCACTTCTCCTTTGCTATATCTTGCTGGTTGACAGCAGAGATAAAGTACATCTAAAGCCAAAACCTTTATTGTCTTACTTTTAGATAGAGCAGAAAAGGGTTAAAAAATCTGTATGATTTTTTTTCTTACCTGCTGTATCCCACTGAGTAGAATTCCCTTCACTTCCTCCCCATAGACACAACTAGAAGTAAGAAAACAATCTCTCTAATGTGAGGAAAGCCACCTTTTAGACAGCTGCCATCAAAATGGGTATTATCAAATATAAAAGTTTCACCACTTTAGTCCTGGTGAAAGTGGTGATTCTCCCTAGAGGGGACACAAACGCCAATAAAAACCTAGCAGAGGGTCTAATCATACTCTATCTAAAAATAGAAGCCATTTTGGCTTTATATACATTATAAAGGGAATTTTTTGGAGGATCTGCATTGATAATGAACAGAGATCAATTTTAGCATTTCATCACATTATTAGGCATATGTTTATTTTTCTAGTTTACAAATGCTCAGGTAGGTTGTACGGACAGGGAAGGGGCAATGGTCACTTGTGGGGGAGTTGGTTGTTGTGCTGAGTTATCATTCGGGGAGGGGGAGGCATGGACGCCGGACCACGCTGTTAGTGGCTCTGTCCGGCATCCTACTCAGCTCACTGACATCGCTGGTTGCCAGAAGCTTGGCGGGACACAAACCAGATCATCCCACTCAGCTCCTGGCAACCGGTGATGTCAGTGAGATGTCTCCCTCTGCTGCTCCCTCCCAGCTGCCCTCAATAAGGCTCATTATAGGGACAGCCCTGGAAAGAAGAATGGGGGCTACCATGGCTGACCTCCTACTGAAAACGCTTCTTGTCTGGCTTCAACACTCTGAGCTTCTAACTCTTAACTTGACCTGGGCCCCAGAACTGAATGAACACATTGGATCAGAGCAACAGCCAGGGGACTAATATTTACATAAGGAGAGGTAAGTATTGGTCACCCACATATTTTATCAGCTTAGTTTCCTTGAAAGATGGGTCACTTTTAAAGGTTTTTTATTAAGCAAAATGGCATTGCATGAGAAGCCACAAATGGCAGCTGTGGGGTCCAAACAGTGGTTTATGGTCAGTGAAGCTGAATTCACTTGTCACCTAAATGGTAAAGAATACACATGTCTTTTATATTTAGACAATATTTACTTATCCTGGAGTTCAGCTTTAAACTAACTGGTTACCAGTTTTGACTGGACTTGGTCTTTAAACCAGTGCTCACTTCTCCCATCCAGCTGACCCTGATAGCCCTGTCTCTGTGGTGCTCATAGTTGGAAGAGGAACATGGTGGTTAACATCGGAAGGAGCCTCAGCTGGGTTACCATGAGCAGAGTCTGTGATGTTCCACTCACGTTGTTTTTGTAGAAAAGTACACCAGCTTGTGAAGGTGCTTTTAAATCTGTCAGAAGCATAACAGTACAGTATGGGATCCATACAACAATTTGTTCCTGACATCATCCAAGTGATGTAATAGGCGACCTCAACATTTTCCAATAAAGAACACAATTCTGGAAAAAACAATGTGATGGTGACTCCCATGGTCCTGGTGATATGGACCGGGATATAGCAGATAATGAAAATTATCAGGGAGACCAGGATGGTCTTAACTGACTTGGATACCATGACTTTGCTGAGGGTGTTCATTGGGTTGACTTTGAGGATGTATCGACTCAGTAGAGTGTAACAGACCAATGTTATGGAGAAAGGAATGAAGAGACCAGAGAAGAGGATGATCCAGTTCCAGACAAAAAATAAAACTGCTTGTTCGGTTTGATGAAAACTGAGACATTTTGTAACCCCGTGGACTGCAGAAGTTTTAAGGACAAAGAAAAATGGAATACCTTGGCACAGCAGACAACCCCAAACAAAGAGGCAAAGTTTTTTTATAAAGGGTTTTCTGGTCAAGGCTGGTCTTTTGACGTTGTGAGCAACAGAGAAATATCGGTGGATACTGATTATGGTGAGAAAGTAAATGCTTCCATACATGTGAGTGCTGAGCAAGAAGACTTTGAACTGGCAGAAGAACAATCCGAAGGTCCAGTGGTCAGTCAGGGAGTAGATAATGATCAGGGGAGCTGCAGGGGTGATGATGGCATCAGCGATGGCCAAGTTGAACTGGAGAACCACCGTCGAATTCCACTGTTTTACCTTGAACCAAAATATCCATAAACTGATGCAGTTCAGCACAAAGCCAACAAAGAAGATGAAGCTCAAGAAGATGGGGATGAAAGGGTTAATTGGCTGTGGCTGACAGCCAGTGAAATTCCCAGAAGAGTTCATAGTCCCAAAGATCTGTATCCTGAAAAGCAATCAGAATTTTTCAGTAAGGGAAACGTTTTTGCATACTTAAAAAAATGCATATTTTTTTTTAAATGCAGCTTTACATTTAAAAACACCTTTAAGATAATTCTATTATCATACCTATAAACATTTGGCACAAAATAAAGCAGGCCTATAGCTAAAGAGATTTTGCTGACTGAATCCCACTCAAGCAACACATCTGCTCGTACAGTGTACGTCCCTCTTCACAAGGGGTTAAAAGGATATGTACATCCTAACAATTAACTCTTATGTTTTTCCATTTGGTCTGTTAAATATACAATTTAATGCATTTTGTTATATCTGTTCGATATGAAAAAATACTTATTGGTCTTGCAAAAACTCTTGTCAGCACCTTATAAGTTACATTGTTTTGTGCTATCAACGAGGACTACGTTATGTCTATGCAGACTATATTTAATGGATTAAAGGACATTGACATCTGCACTGAATTATAATGTCACTCTCTCCTTGGCTCTGCAGTGGAAGTCCTGTGCCAGCCTGCCTGCTCAATGGAAAAGCATGAATCTGTGCAGTGCCATGAAATATGAGACAAACTGTATCCCATATTGATTATATATGAGATGTAGCTTGGCACAAATGATGTAATGTGCCCAAGTGTTGCATCCTGGGAAGATTACATCAGCAGAGTATTGCTTGGAAATCTCATCTGTAATCTCACGAGATCTCAGGCAAAGGCATTTTCCTCCCCTGAGATGATGTGCATGGTCACATGTGCCAGAGTTCCAGGAAGTAAAGGGAGATAGATTAACCTGCCCACAGTTAAAATAGCCACTGCCTGAAGACTGGGGAAGAAAAGAAAAATAAGGTAAGCAAAAAATACAAAGTCGGCAATTATCTAGAAGTATGTGTTTGTAGATTGTCATTACTAAACATGTCTAAAGTCGTGTTTGTTGTTATTTTAAAGAAATGGGTAAAGTTCCTCTCTAAAGGTTAAAGGGAATATGTATTTTCTGTGATATTTTAGGTGGACATGTGAAAGAGAATTGCTAAATCAAGCAATAGATTCCCTGTCAAGCTCCAAAATTCAGCCGCACGAAGATCCACCCAAGTAGAATCCAAAGTTTTTAATTGACATAAATCCAAAAACAGAATCCAAAATGCGATATGCAACATGTACACCACCATGAGTCTCTCCCACACCAACGCCTCTCACGCGTTTCACCACCTGGGCTTAATCATAGATATACATTCCCTTTGTTGCAGATGTGTTATCTTGAGAGTTGCTAAAGGCTAAGTTTAACTTTCTGACCATGTTTCATTTTACACCCATATTCACGGTGGTCCACTCATTTTTCCTCCATCCATATTACTGAATCGCCATACCTCGGTATAGACATGGAGATGGAGAGGGAAAGTCTTCTGTTGCACCCATGCCCATGACTCTCTATCCTGACTCTCTATCCTGCCTGGACTTGTTCCTCATATCGCCCAACTTGTTGCCCAAAGTATCCGCAGTGACTATTGAAGATATGGTCATATCGGACCATTCTCCAGTGATGATTGACATTCAACATGTGGGGCTGCCCTCCAGACCCGTGGTATGGCGCTTTCCGGCATATCTGGCTACTGATGATACCTTCCAGGCGCATCTTGTCTCTTGGTGGGGGGAATATGTCTCTGATAATGCATCACATGTCGGGGATCCGATCCTGTTCTGGGAGGCGGCAAAGGCAGTCCTGAGAGGCAGGATTCTGGCCTATGTCTCTTCTCAGAAGAGGCGGACCAAGCAGAGTTATGTAGAGGCATGCACAGCGGCTAGGACTGCATACTTGAATTATAGACAAGACCCTTCCCCTCGAGCCAGATCCGATTGGATACAGGCTAAACAAACGTGCGACCACTGGATAGCCCAATATGATCTCCAAATCCGATCCCGCAAAGAGGTGGAATTCTTTAAGTTTGGCAACAAATCTGGGAAATTGCTGGCTAACTTAATCCGGGGACCGCAGGCCCCGACCCACATAATGAGCCTTGTCCAAGACAACGGTGAAGTATCCCGGGCGCCCGAGAGTGTTTGAGAGACTTTGCGCTCATTTTATCAGTCCTTGTATGTGGAGGGCGGTGGGGACCAGGCTGCGGGGTCCTCCTTTTTGAACTCGGTAGCCTTGCCGTCTCTGTCCGACGCAGACTTGGATCAGCTGAATGCACATGTTACGCTTCAGGAGGTGCAGGCGGCTATCCATGGATCCCCGAGTTTAAAGGCTCCTGGGCCTGATGGACTGTCAGCGGAATTCTTCAAATCCGTAACTGACCATATCTCCCCTACTTTAGTCTCCTTGTACAATCATATCTTGCAAAAGGGCTGCTATCCGCCCACTTTTAGCTCAGCCTACAAAAGGTTGTTGCCCAAAAAGGGGAAGGATCCCACACTTCCCGGATCTTATCGTCCCATTTCCCTGCTTAACTTCGATGCCAAACTACTTTCCAAGATTATGGCCAACAGACTGGCCGTTGTGCTGCCTCAACTTGTATCGCCAGACCAGGCGGGTTTTGTATCTGGTCGTTCCGCAGTACTGAATGTGAGAAAAATACTTACTGCACTGGAGGGTATACGGTTGTCGGGGTCCTCTCCCAATGGCATTGTTGGCCTTGGACGCGGAGAAGGCCTTTGACAACGTTAACTGGTCATGGCTCTTGAAGGTTATGGAACGCTGTAATGCCGTGGCAATATTAAGAATCACAGCTGCGGAGGCTATAAGCAGGTATGGTTGTTACGGAGGGTACGGCGTCAGGGTCGGGTTCCAGGCGTCACTCTCAAAGTCATAAGCGGAGAGTTTGGAACCCTACCATCATGTGCCGCGGTGAACAAGGGGTATTCACAGTTCAAATAATGGCAATTCAAAGTACAACGTTTAAATAGCATAAATCATAAGTCAGCAGAGTTGTAATTTCAGCACTCTAAGTTCTCAGAGTATTCCTATCATACACTGGGTAGACTTTCATAGGCAAAATATTGTGATTCCCGGGGTTCCTAAGGGGCGAAGGTTTAGACGGGTGTCTTAGGTGGAACCTCTGCACTAGGTCGGGAGCATGAACCTCCCTGCCATCTTCCCAAGAGTCGTCCTGGGGTCCGTAACCCTTCCAGCGGATCAGGTACTGTAATTTGTTCCACCTCCTCCTAGAATCCAGGATCTCTTCCACCTCGTACTCCTCCTGACCCCTCACTTGTACCGGGGGACATGGAGGAGTAGCGCGATCGGGGAAAGGATCAGGACAAAAAGGTTTAAGCAAGGAGACGTGGAACGTGGGATGAACATTGAACCCCACAGGTAAGGTGAGTTTCATGGTGTTCATGTTGATAACCTGTTCTATAGGAAAGGGCCCAAGGAATAGTTCCCCCAATTTTCGGGGGGGGTTCCCAACCGTAGGTTTTTGGTGGAGAGCCAGACCTTGTCCCCGATCTTATAATCGGGAGCGGTTCTCCTCCGAAGGTCATAATACCGTTTCTGTGTGGTTTGGGCACGGTTTAGGTTGTCACGTACTACTTCAGTCATTTTCCTGAGGTTCGCCAGGTAGTCAACGGCTGCGGGAACGTTAGAGGAAATCACAGAACCCGGTAAGGGGTTTGGGTGAAATCCGTAATTCGCGAAGAACGGGGAGTGGAGAGTGGAGGAGCTGGTAGAGTTGTTATAAGCGAATTCCGCTTATAACGCGGCAGTAACTCGAACCAGTCATCCTGGAGGTGCGTACAGTAACATCTGATGTACTGCTCCAAGCATTGGTTTATGCGCTCTGTCTGCCCGTTTGTCTGGGGGTGATAGGCGCTGGACAGGCGGTGGTCAATGTGGAAGGAAGCACAAAGAGCCCTCCAGAACCGGGAAATAAACTGAACTCCTCGGTCGGAGGTTACACCTCCTCGGCCCTCTCCACATCCTTCCGCCTGTACAAGGGAACCCGCCAGGACTGTCCTCTATCCCCACTATTATTTAATCTGGCTATAGAACCCCTGTCCCGATCCTTGGCTACCCCCCACATTTTTACTGGTTACCAATCTGGCCCATATGACACTAAATTAGCATTATGTGCAGACGATATCCTCTTGCTCCTCTCTGACCCACTGACCCAAATCTCAAAACATTCTTAACCACATTGCACATTATGGCTCGTTTTCTGGTCTTAGAATTAATATTAAAAAAAGCGAGCTTCTTCCTCTCACCTCGGATAAAAAGTTTGTGGCTGCCCTTTCCCGCACGTACCCCACTCTGCTAATACAGCCACGATGCATCAACTATCTGGGAGTCTCCATTCCCCGCTCTGTCAGGGATTTATATGCATTAAACTACAATCCTGTTATAGCTAAAATTGTTCAAGCACTACGTACGTGGAGGGACTACCCTATTTCCCTTCTGGGCAGATGTCACCTTATAAAAATGGTTAGTTTTGCTAGATTACTCTACCCCCTACAGACTATACCCCTTTTGCTGAAGCATATTGATATCCGAATCCTTCAGAGCGCCTTCTCGGGTTTTCTCTGGAGGGGGAAAAGGGTGAGAATAGCCTTTAAAAAACTCCAACAACCTGTGGGCCAGCTAATTTACTGAACATCAGGGCATATAATCTGGCCAGTCTGTTCCGCCATATGCAGGATTGGATACATGACACCACTTTTTTTACCAATACCCCTCTGGAGTCCCACTTGATGAAACCCTGGTCACTAGCGGGAATCCTGAACTCTCCACCGAGACTCCTCCCCAAGCACATTAGGGACAACGTCCTCTTAAGGGACACTGTGATTGCATGGAGAGAGATCAGGAAAATCTATCGTATATCTACGGTGATCTCCCCATTGATGCCCCTCAGATCTTCACCGGGGGTTTACCCCTGGCATTGCATCTCAGGCCTTCCGCACGTGGGAAGCAAAGGGTATCAGGGTCATAGCGGATGTATTCACCCCCCAGGGGCACCTCAAGAACTTTCAGGACCTCCGCACCCAATACCAGCTCCCAACCACCCATA